ACATACAAGGTGTCTTTGGTCAAAGTCACAGAGGAGACTGGTGGCCCAATTTTATAATTATCCACTGTGTCCACATGGAGCTGCACAACATTCTTCCTCTTGATGACTACAAGAAGTAAAGATATACATTTCATTTAATATCCAGACGTGTCCTTTAATCTCTCTCTTACTAGATGATGATGCCATTTCTGTTTATTGTACCTGAAACTTTGTGAAACATTCCATCGCACAAAGAGGCTTTAGGCTTCACGGACACCATGAAGTTCCCATTCCCATTGTTGACTTGTGCCACAACCTGCAATGTTACAATATAGAGACTAATGTATTAGTAATAGTATAAAAATAAAATATGAATTTTCCCCACGTACCACTAGAGAGCGCTTGTGTACCACTAGTTGTACACGTACCACAGTTTGAGAACTGTTCTATTATATTTGTCATGAACTCTGTCATCTGTCCCCACTAATCGTCGTCACCACCTTCCTCCACCAGCTATTAAAAATGAATCAACTTTGTTGTAAAGAAATCTCATCAATTAGTCTAGAATCCCACCTGTCCGTCGTGTAGACACTGATGTAGCGGCCCGTTGGTCCATACTGCGTCCTGCTGGAATCACTGACATGAAGCACAAGTCCGGTCGAATTTCTTGGACGAATAGTGAAGAGCACTTCAAAACTGGAGCCCACATTGAAGGACTCATCTGAAAACAGGAGAGGGCACAGTTGGTATTTTTCCTGAGGGAAACCCTAGTAGGGTTCCCCTCACTTGCTACTGTGTGTATCCAGTCCCTGGGATTTTATTGTTGAGATGGCAGATTTTTTCTTTTTTTTTTGCTGTGCAGTACAATCAGACTATACTCACTGATTACAACATGAGCTCCGTTCCCTGAGAAATAAGCTCCTCTTTGAGGCTGTCCCTCAAAGCAGGGGCCAGCACCAAGGTTTGTGGCTGGACTTGTCATCAGAGCTCCATTCATTTTGAAGTTGCGGATGCAGCCAGACACACTGTGTTTGGGAAGACCCTTTGACTGGACAAGTCAAAGGGAAAACACGCAGACGGACAGATGTGAACTGATTTTCAGTGACAGGGTTTGTGTAATTTATCCCGTGTCTGTGTGTGTTTGTTATTTATTTACCTTTAACTGCTTGTGCAGAGCCTCTGGGACAGTGCCCAGATACACGGGTGGCATGAAGTGCTGCATGGATGTCGACTCACTGTGGGTCAGCTGACCATCAAGGGCTCTGATCCCATCAACGACCAGCCTGAATTTCTTCTTCTCCAAACTGAAAATGACCTACAGGCAATGTGATAATGTAATGTGAAAAAGAATGATGTTGATTTCTGAATCTGGAAATGAATTGATCAGGGATTTTATTTTGTGTTAAAATGCAGAATCGAATGTGAGTCTACTGACCGAGTGCCACTTTCCATCATTGTACTTCTCCCTGTTGAAGATCTCCTTCTCTTTGCCTGTAGAAAGCCTGATCCTGCCCTTGGACATGTAGAGAGCAAGGTGAGAGCGCCCTCCTCGGGTGGTAGCAAAGAACAGAAGGCCTTCGGGAGATCTCGTCCTGACATCAAGAGAGAAGTGGGGTCTGCAGCAGACCACAAGATTTGAATTATGCGAATAAATGGAAGAAATATTTATTTATGTGAATAAATGGAAGAAATATAAATATTTATTTTTAAAGGGTTTTAAGTATTTAAGATTTCTGCTTTAAAAACCTGTGGAAAGAACAATGAAAAAGATGATGAACATAAAGTTTGACCCTGCAAAACATTTCTGTCCTATATGTGTGTGTGTTCCACCTGGGCAGTAGGACTTGTAATGGTAGACTGTAGCTCAGACTGCTGACTGGACCTCCCATACGATAGGCATGTTGAACAGTGGCTGGCAGAGCGCACGTTGACACAGGCTCATTTACTGCTGACATCACAACCTCCTACAAAACACACATAAGGGGAAAAAAACAAGCAGAAAGTTGGTACAAATGGATTTGGTAGGTTTTGATTTTCAGCTTTTTGATGGTCTCCAGTCAGTAAAGAAAACATGGTTACCTAGAATAATGAAAAAGTAAAAACACAAAATGAGTGTTTTGTAAAGTTCACAAATACAAGTGTTTAAATAATGATCACTTTGTTTAAATCTGATTGGTTTGTAAAAACAGGAAGACGTTACTTTACTTTATAGATATATGTACATATACAGTACATGTACAGTTTATAGATATATATTTATATATATATATCTATATATAAAGTTGATGTTGTTGCTAGTTTTCATGTTGACGTGAATGATTAAATAATCACTGATCTCTAACAATAAATGTTATGTTAATAGTGGAATAAGATTAGAAATCCATTATGATTACAGAAAAGTATAATTGTAGGGTGATGGTGATGATGTCGAAGATTATTATGTATTATCTACATTAGGGTTAGTAGGCAAATCATAGATGAAAACCTTTATGATTTTACATACAAATTTGAGTAAGGGGCTCTAAAAAAAACAACTGATTTTAAACTGTGAATGTATCGATTTTCTGATTCTCCGTGAAAATCAAACGGGTTTATCTTTGCAATTTTCTGTCCACTGATTAAATGGCAGAGCTAATTAAAATTTATAAAACATATTGGAAACAAATAATAATCAACTCCTTACTGTCACACAATGTGCCTTGAGTTAGTGCCGTCTAACCAGTGCCTCATTTCAGCTAGTTTTGGGACTTGTGCTTGTTACTGTGTACTATATTATCGAAGTAAATCTGTTGCTCATGTATTGTTTTTTTTTTTAAATAGATCCATACAGAGATAACAAGGTATAATGGAGACTTGAGGTAAGGGATGATTTTCTGTAGCACTTTATGTGATCAGGTTTGTGGTTTCATTTAGAGTTTGAATCAGTATTTCTAAAACAAGCTCATGGCTGAATAGTGAATGACTTTGAAACACATTTTCCAGGCCTTTAGAAATTTAGTTCTACTCATTTGCCTTGAAAATCGTTGCTTAATTCTTCAGTAAGTATTGGACTAATCCTGTGAAAAACAAATAATAATATAAAGTGGGAAAAGTTGAGACAATGTCCCTGGACTTTTTTTTTTGTTTTGTTAAAACTGTTTCTAGTTTAAAACTATGTTTACAGCCATGGCATCATTAATAAAGATATAATATCTGTCCAAAAAGTGCATGACAGTCCTATTGACACAAATTCTCAAATTAAAGGTGTTCAATAATTTGAGAAAATGGATACTGGAGATTGATTTTGACATTCAAGTGTGTTTCACTGGGACCTAGGAAACGTTCCTTATCCAATTTTAAAACTAGTGTAATATACATTTTGACCCCAAAGTGTAAATTCCATTAAGATTTGTATGGTGATTTAAAAAACATGCTGAGAATGGAATGAGAATGAAAATTGATTGTTTCAGTGACAGTGATTTCCATTAGATCATAATCAGGCGTGTTTGTTGATGATGAGGTGACAGTGAGTTCGGAGGGAACGTGCTTGTGAGTGACTGTTAGAAGGAAAGAGTAGAGATGTGCAATGATTCCAGGCTTTGTTTTCCACCAGGTTTGATTCGTTGCAGAGTGATTGGAACAGAAGAGACAACGATACATTGCATTTTCCACAATTCATGTGATCATCACGCATGCTTTGGTTTTTATTAAAGGTACACTGTAAATAAATCAACGGTGCAAACTGGCAGGTGTTCATGTCATAAAAATAGGACTGTGGCCAGCATCGACTCCAGGACTTATGGCTTCCTCCTTCTTCACCTCTGGAAATAAGGCAGCAGAATAAATGTGAACAAACACAGTGTAAGAAGCAGACAGTATCGTACAGTGGAGTAGAACTGTCTTAGCTGTAGCTGAGCTGTAGCTGTGGATTGACCAGGGTTAATCATGACATTGATTGACATGGCAATCAAAATAAACCAGAAATGTCAGAATATGACCAAAAGGACAATTTTTCCCAGTATAGTGCTGGAAAAAAAAGACAAATCACAGAAAGTGGATTTTTTTCTTGGAACGGGTCGTACAAAACTAAATTTCGTATCACCTTCCCTGGTGCATATGACAATAAAAAGATTCTGATCTGATCTGAAAGTGGATGTGTGAATTTGTGACTAAGAAAAAATGTGCGGGCTGGTATTTTAAGTTTGAGGTCCTTTGGTGAAACAAAAATGTTTTAATTATAAATAATTGGAAAAAAGGCCTGTTATCCAAACTGCCTTAATTAAATACTTTTATTTAATTAAATAATTAAATACAAAATTAAAAGTGTTTTTTTTTGCACACTACTATAGGTAACAAAAAAAGTGATAATCAATGCTTACTTACTCAAGAGCACTTGCTAGATAATGATATCAATCATCATCTCACCATGTACAGACCAGTTTGGATGGTCATATCATTTAACATAACATAAATAATTACATAAATAACAGCAGAAATAAAAAAGGATCTTTGGTTCTCTGCCTCAAATAATGCACTTAGTTCATATAAGACTCGAACAAACAATTGCAAGTTTCAGCATTTGGGTCTCACCTTCTTAGAAACACGATCGATCATCAACTGAGCTGGAATGTCAGAAGTGCAAACATCAACCAGGACGTCTCCAGATGCCTGGAAGACGCTTAAGTCCTCAGCCTGGTACAGTTTTGCTGGCCTGCAAACATGAAAATATCAATAACTGACTCTAAGAAAAGTCTCAACTAATTTCATATTTGATCACAGTGTGAATAAAACCTACCGTCTAGTATAGAGGTTGGAAACACAGCCTTTAAACTGGTGGTGTCCCAGGACCAAGGACCCGGCTGTGTCAGGTATGGATGTGCTGCCACTCTGCTCCTGACCCTTATCTTCATCATCAATGACCAATTCAATCCTGTTAGGAAAGTCATGACTTAGTGAGACACAATTTTCTCTATAGCGCCACCTGGGCAGATGTCCATCATCAAATCTGTGATGACTTCGTACCTTCCTGCTCTTCTGGTCACGGTCAAATAATGCCACTGGCCGTCCTGATACTGTTTCTTTGATTTCCAGATCTTGTCGTTCAGACTGAGAACCACGTGGCCGTTGTCCAGAGCGAGTTTAATCCCATTGGCCTGAAGTGGAACAGACAATATGGAATAAGTGGACTGAAAAGGGAATTTTACTAAAAAAATATTTAAAACAATATCTAGTTCCTACCAGGTGTTTATTCTGTAGCAGGAGACCCTGATTCTGTGTGCTCTTGAAGCCCAGAGAGACAGTGACATCATCAGCCAGACTGAAGCCTGGGAGGTCAGCTGACAGGGAACCGCCAGTTCTGAACTCTGCTTTACGAGAAATCTTGACAAAAGCATTGGACAAAATACATTAGAAACCAATGGAATGACTCCGGGTTAACACGGGATGTGGGTTTAGGGATACGAGACAGTGTCCTACCAGGGACGTTGGGGGACATCCTCTGCTGACCCCCACTTGCTCATCAGCGGTTTTGAAAACTTTATTGACCTGCAGGTTCTTCATACATGCCTTAAATGGCTGTATTGTGATGTTGTGTCTTTGAGGAAGAAACAAAAAAATCCACATTTGAGTCATGACAGTCGGGGAACTTCCTCCGCCTTAAAACTTACGAAGAATAAACATCAAATACCTTTCCCTCACATCTCGTGGGGCACCACCGATATAAAACTCTTTAAATCCTTCGTTGGTGAACGCTGCAGTGGTTACAGCCACGTCAGTATTGGCAACACGTACTGAAAACTTGCCCTTGTTTGTGATAACGATGAGAAAGCTGAGCCACTCGTCGTTCTAGTTGGGAGAAAAAAATACATTCATTAAGATAATTGTATTCCTTCAAACCTACTGCAGCACGTGTCATGTAAACATGGCTCTCATTTACAAATACACACATCTTACCGGGAATGTTTTCTCGATGCCCTTTACTGGAGCTGTGAGCAGATCACTGTGTATAGTGACGACACCTTTCTCCACGGTGACGATGAAGTAGTTGTCCTGTGTCAAAGAGAGAACAGGCGTTTAGATGGTTTCTTTTGGTAGCTGGACTCATTCCGCTTTAGGAACACGGAGCCAAACACTTACCACATTCTCCAAGTACAGGAGCAGACCGTTCTCTGAACGACTAAGTATGGACACACTTATTAGCAGGAAAGCACCTGGTTTGTCTATCGACACTTTGCTATAGCCAGTGCCCTCAAAGTACAGAGCATCCTCTGGTGGGATGTATCTAGACACAGAGAAAGACAAGACAGCAATTTTACTTTATATTTTTTAATGGACTTAATGTATGTATGTAGTAAGAAGCTGAGGTAGTTTTCCTGTAGACATTTTATAATTATGGAATTATGGAAGCTACCAATGTGACACTACTGGCAAGGAAACCATAAACCATAAGTGTTTCAAGTGCTCCTTTCTTTTTAGGACAAAATGCCAATATTAAAACTGTGATCCCATTGGCAGGATATAGAAACATATCATAGGACATAGGTGATGATTGACAACTGAATAATAAAAATAAAAGGCTGGTAGAAAAGCAATGTATATTGATGCTGTGTACTGCAGCCAGGCTCCTGTTAAGTGGTCTCATTGATCTGATTCAAAATTTTATTTTTCAATTATTAAAATGCTTCAGTTTGTTATTTAATAAAAAATATTTATACCTTTTTGTATTTATTATTGAACATTAATGGCACCCTCTACTGAAATTATGGTGGCAGCATTGGTCCTCTACTTGTTTCACTTTAAGACCCCTGTATTAAGCTAAGTATTAAGCTCTGTCCATGGTGGAAATTGCAATATTGTTTCTTCTTATACTTCAATACTGTATGTAACACTGACGTATTTCATGCCTAACCATACCAGCACGTACCTCTTGCACGGCGTCTCCACGTTAACTCTGTTTTTGTTTTGGAAGTTGTACAGACTGACGACTCTATCGTTGAAGGAGTTGAACTCAATGCAGCCCTCGTACATGGGGTAGTTCAGAGAGTTTGGTGGCTGAGGAGGAAACAAAAACGTTACGGTACCATTTTTTATTATGAACACACGATCTGGTCTGTGTCATCGTCTGCTTACTGTGAAGTTGGCAGGGTAACCGCCCACATAGAAAACCATGTCGTTGGGAGTGATGTCCAGCAGGTTCTTGTTCTCCTCTCCCTGTTTGTTCTCCGTTATGGCTTTACCAGGAGTGGGTGATGTGATGTCTTTGATGAGGGTCAACTCTGCATCTTGGTAAATTCTTCATTTTTACATTACAAAAAAAACAACACAATTATTCATTTAATTATTATATCAATTACCTTGCCTGTTTTATAAACAGGCCTAATTTGTTTTTTAAATTTCCATATAGTAATCTGTAACCATATAACACATATATAAGGGCTGTGAAAATGAACATAACCCCAGTAATACATTTGTTGAATTAATCAAATTACATTTTTTAAACAAACTTTTGCAATTTATATCCAATAATTCTACCTGAGTAGTAACACTTAGAACTCCTAAACTGTTTCTTATCAGAATAAATGAAATCAATTTTGTAATTATTTACTGTATATATATGACAAATGGACATAAATATATATGACAAGGTGATCGCCGTAACGTTACCTGTTCAGATTCACTCTGTCGAACGTGGCTGGCTCCGATGCAGACCTTGTGATGTAGCCCGACTGTATCTCATACTCGACGCCGTTGAGTTTGTAGACTCCATACAGCACGTTGTCCCTCAGGGCCATGCCGATGTAATTCTTTGAAGACTAAATAAAAAATCGACATTTATTTATTTCTCGCGTACCGTACCAATGTGACTGCTGGTGTTAATGTTTCTCAGGTTTCTCATTCACTCACGTCTCTGTTGCCGAGGTACAAGACAAACATGTTTCCTTTCTCTCTGGCTTGTCTGCGTCGGCGTCGTCCGTCTAACCTGCTCTCCGGTCTCTGCAGGGACAGAGAGACGGCCGTGTAGGCCTTCAGATCCTCCAGGTCCTTGGGTGGACGAAGCTCCACATGGCCGTCGCCTTTGAACTTCATGGGGATTGAGATCTGGAGCGAAGATATCAATATGTATAGTGAGGACAGTGATACTACTTTGTCGACATGAGTTTAAA